ATCGGTTATTGTTTTACAGAGGGACAGATACACCGATCAATTTGTAGTATAGACATGACTTGGAGATTCTGGTTTGAGAAAGGAAGCAGTACAACTCCCACTACTTCCGCCACGTTACTGAGCCCGTACCAACCAACCCTGCTACTCAATCACGTGACTTCCATAAACCGATCTCATTGGTCAAATCCGAGGTAATCGTTCGCTGATTGGTCCCTGCTCAATCGTGTAAAAACACGCGTGCATAGCGCTTGTTTCACAAATGCACATCATGCGCAGGGATGAGAGTGGAGAAAATAGCTTGGAAAGTATAAAATACATGTAAATTGTAAGGTGTAACAGAAGCGATGCTTTTGGACTCTGTTCTAATTATTAGAGAAGGTAAATGTTACTTAACCACAATAGTAAATTCTATATTGCCTGACTAACTGCTCAGCCATTGCCACACTAACTCCCCTAACCGCCGCTAATATATGCTAATATATGCATTATGCTATTTTCATCCAACTTTTCCCTCGATTACCGATAAAGGGATGGTTGAAGCAGAACCATAAACCACGGATTCGATCGGCAAACAATGGGCTAACAATGGATGACAACTGAAAAGTAGGCATGCTAATAATGCTAATGTCTCCCCCGCTGACCAGAAGGAAACAAGTAATCGGTAAATAGAGTTGCGACGTAAACCGGTATAAGTTCACTTTAAGTGGGGAGGGAAAGTTCATTTGAGATACAGGTAGAATCATGCACGGCTCGGTAAATAGAACTATCGAGAACAGCAGTTAACCTGGATCTCTCCAGCTCTCAATGATAGGAATTTAACTAGACCGGGAATGGAGTTAGCACTTGAAGAGGCTTTCTTTAGCAATTCCGGGGATTCCCTGTCTTTGGTCTGGTTTCCGTATGATTATCATACAAGAGGGATGTGTCACAACATCAGTTAAACGTTACAAAACACACCTGCAAAACAACAAACTCGGCCACCAAATCATTCTCAACAACAACAAAAAGAGCTAAAATAAACCCAGACAAACCAAACATTTACAGCAGGCTAAAGTGTTCCTTTCAGTTTTACATGACATAAAGTAAATCCCGTCTCTCTCTCTCTCTCTCTCTACTCACAGCCTCTATAAAGAGAGAAGAGAAGAGAGAGAGAGAGAGAAGAGAAGCTGCCCTTCTCTCCTCTAATACTACTAACTCCCCTAGCGTTAAATTAAATCGTCTATCTGGTCACACTAACACCCCTGGGTTCTCCTAGTCTATATCTGAGTATAGGATAGACCAACTCTCCAGTTACTTGTCTCAATGTTAATATACAACAGCGGCTATAACAGGGAGGCTATAACAAGGATCACTTGTAATTTAGTTGTTTGTGTGTACGTGACTGTTTGTTTGTGTGTACGGTACTGTTTGTTAGGAGCCGCGTGTTTTTGTTGTATAGGGGGTGGAGCTGCCGGAGGGTTTGTGTTTTATCCTGATATCTCGGAGGGAATTATTTTTGTTGCCGGGTTTTTTTTGTTGCCAAGAACTTGTCAGAAAAATATCTGTAAATTATCAGATTGGCTGGTTACTGGTCTCTGTTACGATTTACAGTGTCTGTGATCTTCGGCATATATTATATCCTCTCTCTTGCGCTATATATTTATATATTTTAGCTGCTGCAGGTGAAAATTGGTTGGTTTTAAGAGCCTCTTTTAAGCATAATATAACATTGTAAATGTTTCCAAAGTGTGATTGTTACCAGAGATGTTACCATTTGACAAGTCTACAGATTGTGACTTGTAGACGAAGCGCACTGTTACACTGTGTTAGTTCTAAGAGTGTGAGCCCCAGTCAACCATTGTCTTTCAATTTTCGGATTTTAATTTTTATACTCGGGCATGACCACCAGGGGGTGAATCAGGGGTTCCCTTTGTGGGAATCAAGGGCCGAAAATTGGTTAAAGAGCTGACAAATTAATAATTACGATTCTTCATTCGACAGGAATTACCGGTAAATGCTAATATGTTAAGTGTTCCAAAGAAGCACATAAGGATTCTAGACTGCACTAAATTTTTCAAGCCCTTCATCTCTGAAAGGTCTCTTGACTTTGGGAATCTTTTTGAGGTGCCAACCTATTGTCAGTTGACTGTGAGAACCTCACCTTTCTAAAAGTTGTATTCTTTTTTCTAAAAAAGCTACCAGAAAGCCCGACCAAAAGTCAGCTTATATTATATTATTCTTTTTTGCACTAAAGGAAAAGCTGCCAGAAAACCTGCAAGGCTGTAATATCCCAATCGGCTCTGACGGTAATTATTTTAACAGGCTAAATGGGGTAGTGTTGATACGGCAGCAACACATATATTTACAATTTAACCTGTTAAAACTGCTCAGATACTGACAGCACAGGATAACACTGACATAGGACCTGTTAACTTCCACCTATTGTAGTCAGTTTAAACTCCCACAATCCGTTTGTGTTCCCCCTATTGTGGCGGGTTTAAACTACCCTTCATACCCGGTACTCTATCTCCTGGACTCCACCAGGTTGCAGGGAACTACTCAGAGGTTGGAGCCGCTCCTACTGGGTTCCGATACCTGGCGCTTTAAAACTCTCCAACAAAGGATTGCAGCTCAATTCGTGCCGCTGAGAGGAGATGGCGCCCCTCCGGGGGCACTGAGGAGATAGTTTAACGGTGGAACCCCAGAATGTGCGATCTCGGAGTTGCATGGGAACTCTGGATCCGGGGTTGCTGGTGGGGATCTGGTGGGGAGAGTTTTGGAGAGTGTTCTTACAGTTATTTAAATATTCAAATTGTCTGCTGTAACTGTTATATTGTTGTGTGACTGAAGTTGACAGGGAATAAAGCAGTGATCCAATGTTTGGAACCAGGTCGTGCTGTGCACACATACCGGGTGGTGATATGGAGTGGTGGTCGGACAAACACCCTCAAACTGGCAGAAGTTTTCCCGGGAATCTAGCATTTCCAGGCAGGTCGATCTCTTGACATCTAGATAAGCCGTGTCAAACTGCACTAAGGACGGTCCTCCAACCACCAGCCAAAACCTGGCACACGTGACCGGACTCCGGTCAATGGCAGTTCCTCTCACTCACGTGGGCAGGAGAGCCACTCACAGGCCAGCACGCTCGCTGAGCGGCCCAATCACGGACAAGAAATCAGGTAGCTTGTTGTCAACACCCAGCAAAAATGCAGATAAAGATCATCGAGAGGAAGGATCGGAGGATGGATCAGGTGAGAGCGTGCTGCGCTCTGGTTGGCTCCCTCTCATTTTAAAGCGCTGTGATTGGTCCAACCAAACCGTGCGACGAGGGAGGAAGAAATATCGGCTATATCGTTGAAAGGAGAGGAGTTTTTCAGCGGGGAGGACAGAGGAACCTTATTAATACCTAACTGAGGAGGAAAATATTTAGCACTTTTTGCTAGGCAGTCCGGCTTCTTCCCGTAAATCAGGATTACAGACCTGACGAGGTAGAGTACGTTACATCTAGTGCAGCAGCAAGTACCAAACCCTCTAAAGGGAGAGTTCAAGCCGACAACACTCCCGCCCAGAGCTGCTGTTGTAGTCAGCCGGGTTTCTGATAATAATACTACATAGTTAGTCCGGCTCGGGTGTCTTGCCCCATGGTCCTTAATTTACTGCTGGTAACAATTACTCCTTTACAATTACAAACCCATACTTAGGCCTTGTATTTAACATCGGCGTATCTCAGGGGATTTGAAGGTCGCTACATATGTATAGGGGGTCTGCCTTGATTTAGTGGTTTGTACGATTTCAATTCTCACACGATGCTAACCCCGTACCGGTACGGAACATGGGAAACTGTTGTTCTTCCGGCGTTAGGACTGCATTTTTTCGAGCGTGCTTAATAGTATATAATAGATCTGACCGATAGTAATTCAACAGGAAATTCCCCTCCTGAAATCAGCTTTAACGCAAAAAAACCTTACGAAGGTGGCAAAATTAGGTGTCCTTCGAGTGAAAGCATTGTGTATCTAGGGTTTCAGCCGGTGGGATGCTAGTACAGTTTTAGGGTTTACAAAATTTGAGGTTAACTCTTCTTCCGGTATACCACCACACATTATAATTCCAGTTTAACTTAGAGATACACTGTGTCGATTATAAAGAGGTTCAGGTCATTCATTAGTGTTGTGAGCCCTAGGCTAGGAGTACAATTACTTGTTTTTGAAATGAATTCCAAACTAACTTTATTTTTAGAGATGACAGGAAAACAGGAGCATGTTACCGATTTGGGGGACTTGCAGTACTCAGATAATTGCGAGGCACGTTTTCACATGATGGTCCAATTAGGACACCAAATCCGATTTGGGTTTCACAGGCCAACGAATACTCAAAAACCCGGATCACATATTTGACAAATTTCTTATCAGCCCTAATATTAATAGGTGATTAAATGCAATCAAATCCCAAAACATTTGCTATCGTCTAGTTCTTAGGTCGAAAGAGACAAGGTTTAAATTGGTTGTGAATGGTCAACAAATTGAAGGCACCACATTGGCTGATTCGGGGTCAGCTGATCTAAATACTGGTTCCCTACTGGCTGAACGGAGGACAGACACGGAGCTTAGAGGGACTTGGTGTCAAGACTACCAACCGAGCTGCGATAAAATCACGGAGGACCGACCAAAAGAGTGCCCATAGAAGGGGGAATGCGCTAATTTTTACCGAGGATCGTCTAGATTTGGGACTGTGCGGCTATTTGTCCTAGGACAATCGCTTATTGGATTACCGAGATGAATATCCACCTAATATGCTGTGTTAAAAGCAGCTCTCCTTATCTTGACCCCAGATTAGCACTTCAATTGATCGGCTTAGTAACTTTCTGGCACGCGACTTCACCGGTCAAACCCCATACCTTTCACCGCACCACCACCAACAATTTAACAATAAATTTCTAAAATTATGCACATGTATTATGTAACATTGGGGGAGCTAGTGAGTGGGGGGAGGCGACAACCCCCTGATTAGAATAGGACACGAACCTTGTCCCGTCTACTTCAGGTCAGACAGAGAGAGATTGCCCTGTCAGTGTGGTCGGTAACACTCCGCCACTTGTACCCCCTATCAAGTGGGCTCTGGAGAGAGAGGGACAATGTTCCTCCTGGAGAATGAGAGGTAATTCTCCTCCAGCTGCTCGAGCTCTCCTGCATGTTATTCCGTCATTATCACTTTCCAGCACAGAGCAGCAGACATGTACTCCTACCTATAACAATGATTTTTAGTGTACCTATTACAGTGTTGTGGGCTGGTAAAAGTGTGCTGCTGCACAGTGTGCCGCCTGTATATTTCAATAGAGCTGCAGTGAATTATTCGAATAATGTGCCAACAACAGCAGTGGTTGGATTTTTAACACATTCTAAGAATCTCTTGCCTAAATAACTGTAAAATTCAAGCGATATAATTGACATGTCATATCATGTTAAAAGTGAGGAATTTTCTTTATAAGATTTTAAATATTTAACAAGCGTTTTACAGGCCTCATGACACAAGACATTTCGAGTTCATTATTTGCGGAGAACGTTTATTAGGCCAAGTTATAATAACTCAAAATGATACAAGTGGATTTTTATTTGAATTAATATATTGTTCATTACTACAACTTATAAAACTGCTACGTCTTAGTTACAGTCAATCAAATAATATGAATATAACAAGCTCAAATTCTGGGAATGTATCTAAAATAATGATAATCGTGATAATATTAATAATAATATAACAATATATAAGTTAAGGTGTTCTAATTCATAAAGTTATTAAAATCATCGATTCAATATGTTAGAACTGTTAGGGTTAAAGTTGTTCGGTTCTAAATTCTAATAAAGTTAATCTCTTAGGCAAATATAATATTAGGAGCGAGAATTTACCCTAGATAAATCGGTCATCATTTTGATAATGACTAAAAAGCATGGAGATTTTAATGCAGATTTAATCTCTTCATTTCTGCAGATTTGGCCTTGGAAACGTAGGGTCACAATTCTCAGAAAACTAGACCTATTTCTACTATTTCTAAAAACAAATGAGCGTTAAAACTTTCGGATAAAATTTTTGGTACGTGAAATTCATAAAATTCAATTTAAATACTCAACAAACTAACTAATTAGAACATCCACATTCCATAGAATACAGAATTTCTTGATTTTAAATAAGAACTATAAGAAGGAATTAAATTAAGCTTCACTAGATCTGGTAATATATTTTAGGAGAGAGCCTCTAATACATCCAAATTTTAAAGAAATAAATTTCGAAAAGATAATCTTGCTTTCGTTCGGGGTTATTATAATGAAATAGCCCAGAAAGTGTATCTCAAAACAAAAGTAATATATCAACTTAAACGGATTAATTCTTAAAGATTGAATTCGCATATTTACACAGTAAGTACTTGAGTTGCTAGCTTAAATATAATTTATAACGTGAAAGTTATAAAAGTAAACCAAATATATATTATTGCCTTGCAACGTTAAATTCATCTGATGAAAGAAGTCGAGTCATCCCTTAAAAATTTCAAATGTCTCATCATTATATTATTATTCGAGCTATTTCCTCTACTACAACATATTATCATCTTTATGGTAGGAGTCCATTTTGTTCTAGAATAATCGGCTCGAGTATCGCATCTTTCACCTAAACTTGAACTCTCATCTAATCTCAATCTTGTTGAAGTGTTCAGTGGAATGTAGTAAGTTGCACGTGCGACGAGGAGTCGCGCACCTCACCGTTACACTCTCTGGCATCTGCAGTAACGCTCGCACGTGCATTTGCCATCAATGAAGAATGGCCTCCGCAAGCAGTTGCACACGATTTGGTTGTACTCCTCTTTACTGGTGTTAGCGCTGACCCACAGCTGGAGCTGAAACATGAGGTCGGTTAAGAAATATTACAGTCACATGATAGTTTGATAAAGGAGTAAGAAGTAGTTACCTACTGAGTAGTGCTACTTGGGGCACTATTCTGGTTCTCTTAAAACTTCTTTGTCATTGGGAAGCCAGTGAGAGAGGTTAATTTTAAAACCAAGCTTTCATTTTTTAACACACAACCAAATCTTTTAACATCCTCCAGCATTATTATGGATAATCAGAGGTTTCACAAAAATTGCAGAATTGTCAAGCGGTTTTCAGGATTGGGTAGTGGGGAAGCGGCCTGTCAAATGCTGTATCGTTTCAAAATGACTTGCTAATTCCTGGCCGTAGAGGAAGTGACGAAACATGAGACCCTACAATCCCTGTTTTGTTATTTGAATAGCTTCTCACTTCAGAGTTCCAGCAAATCACGGAAGCAGAGTCGCAGTAATGGTGCTCTGATTAGTGGATGCTGGCAGCTGCAGCTCTGTAGAGAGCAGCGCCCGCGTCCTGCCAAATCTGTAGGATCACATATAATTTGAGGAGTGCTCAGTGCCAGGGGTGGAGAGGGAGCGGGCGCATGACCTGCTCCATCCCTTGCTTTATAGATCTAATTGGTTAACAAGGTCCGACTGAAGGCTGCTGCCAAGCAAGCTGAAGGGCCGGACACTACAATAACCCCGTGTAATAGAGCAAGCCGCTTGTTTACAAATAGTGAGTCCTAAACATCCTCTGAGCCTCCCAATTACACGGTCACCTGACCACCCTCCTCTGGTCTGATAAGTGGAGTACTGGAGTGCTGGGGGAGTAATGAACAGTCAGCAGCCCGTCACGTGATACCATTTATCTCCGTCTCGGGAGCTTTACAGTACAATGCAAGCATACAATGTATTGTCATCACGGCCAAGCTAAACGGTCCATTCGGCAGCTTAAATACTGCTCACTGGCCTCCATAACGGTCCGGGAAGAAGCTTTTGTCAAAGAAAACCTCTCCTTTATGCCGAGAGGCAGGGGACCTTGTCGGACTAAGCTTGTTAATGATAATTAATGGGGTAACGAGAGAAGAAGGAGGAGAAGTGACCTGTGAGGTTGGCTGCCGACCCATTCTACTTGAAGTCCGTGGACCATTACATAATGTGCGCATGTACATTAACCAGGGTCAGACAATGATTTCATTATGAGTTGAAGCACGCTCTTAACCGATAAGTAGGTAAATGAGCTAAAAGAAAACGGTACACGTATATTGATTATTGATCTATAATTGATCTGCACAACGGCGAAGCCATGAGTTTTAAGGGATCTAGCAGAAATAAAGGCGGATATTAGGTCAAAAAGGAAAAGAAAATAAGGGGAAAGGAGCCAATTGAGACGTGGTTAACGAGGAAAAAAGGGTAAAAGAAACATTAGAGTTACCTGTCTGTCGCCTTTGAAGGTAGTGTTGAGGAGGTTCATGTCGAACTGATCCGGATTGTAGGCAGTATTTTCAGATAACGTCGTGTGCTCCAACATTTCTTGGTGTCTGGGATGCTGAAAAAAGGGGATGTTATCATCAATGGTGCCCGGTAACATGTAAGAACCAATCACTCCTGTATCAAATGATAAGGGGTTCTGATATCAGATAATGAGTTTCTAGATCCAGGGAGAGCTGAAGAGGGTATTTCTATTTTCAGCCAAGAAGTCCCCTTACACTTTATGAAGATGCATGTGTTACACGATTAGTTGATGTCATTCTAGACCCCATGACCACTTATACTCCATCATGATGATCAAATGATAAGCTGTGGAGCCGTGAATTTTGGTTAAATGGCGGGAAAGTGGCCCATGAATGGAGTGATGGAATGATTTAGTACGGGAGATAATATTTTGGATAATGGGTGTTCTTAAAGTGCGAAGTTTTTGAACCGTTCGTCAAGTTCGTATGGGGGAGGTGTGATATTTCCTCATTAATCATTACCGTGATACAATGCCAAATTTGCCAAATTTCATCATCGGTCGGCAAAATATTTGACCATTATTAAATATCCGGCTAAGTCAACGATTTATACTTGACATAATATCGATAATTTTTCGCGGGAAATTATAACAAGTGTCTTAACTGTCGGCACACAAAAATCTTGCCCAAATTTAAGTTTTAAATTCCGCTGCTCTGGGTGGTGGGAATCCTCAAAATATCCTCACAGACAGCAGCTCTCACTACGAGCGTGCATTTCACATGCTCTACCCAGCACTTCCCAACGTGTTTCCCTTCACGTTGGATCACGTGGGCAATACCTGGCAACAGCAGAATCGCGACCCTGCAGGGGCTTGTTTTAAACAGCTGTGAAGACGAAGTTAAAACAGGTGACAATTTTCCGAGCGTGTTCCTCTAGTGTTAGAGTCAGGGGTGCTGCCTGGATGTCGTCCACAGAGAGTTGTTGTTATTGTTAAAACTAGCTCTACCCACCAGGATAACAATGACACTTGCAGTTCTATCTCTATATCCCTGCACCACTGTCAGGGCAGTAACACTTCCACTTTTCAACCTACATTTCTATATCTGATAACTGTTGAGAACCTGGTACTACAGGCCCTGAAGCGACGGACTCCAAACCAAAACCCAAACTAAAAACCCAAAGATACCTTCACAAGATCATGTTTTACGGGCATCTCCAACAAGTCCTCATGCCAGCTAGTGATAGTGCTCATTTAAAAGGGCTCCAACTTATCATCAGACACTTATCGCCCTCTAACTGCCCTCACTTCACCCTTCTCTCACCGACACAAGCCCGAGTTATCCTGCCAGCTCTATTTTCCATGTATCTCCACGACACTAAGCTAGGGCAGTGTCAACGAAAAACTGTCAACAACCTCCCTAAATCGACACATTGAATAAGTTTTAATTATATAATATTATATATAAATATATATATACTTATATTCTCTCTCCCCGCGAGAGAATTACCAAGCTGCCCTTTCTGTGGAGGATGAAGCTTGCTCTATAATAAAACCCGGACACCCGGACACCCGGACACCCGGGAAGACGGACAGGTTTTATATAAATAAGCTCAGCTGCTGCTGTATGTGATTGATATGTATCCCGTACTGCCTCTCTACAGCCGGCAGAGTACCGGCTCTCAGAGCTTGTACATGCAGGACGACCTGGCGCTGACCGTATCAAGTATTGATTGGCAGCTATCATCAGCTAAGCTACAAGCCCGGCCACAACCTCCCACTGGATCCTTACTCTCGATCATATGATAGAGTATAAGCCAGCTCCCCCAGTGCCAGGAATAGCACCCACGTGATCACCCGAGCAGGTCAGTTGACAGAGAGCTTGTCATGGGCAGTAACGATGAAAGGCAAAAAACTAGGGTGTTACTTTCGCCAGTGTTACTGTCAACATCCGACCGGATATGAGGACGGAGGTTTAGTTTTTGGATTAAGAGATTGTAGACCAGAACGGTGGGGGGAGTTTAAGCTGTGAACAGAAGTGTAGGAGGGTATGGACAACATCCTCAACAGAAGTGTAGGAGGGTATGGACAACATCCTCGCCCGTGCTTGGTACGATGATCTTTGGATGTTTTTCAAAAATTCGCTTTCTCTGAGAGCGGGTAAGCAGCTCCGAGAATAAAATCATAGAATTTTAGATTGTTAAGCACTGAGAGAGACGCACTGGACATATGTATTCGCATTTTAATCCGAGTCTTAATTATAAATGAAAGGGCTTAATTTAGCTGTAAGTTCGGGATTAATTTAAAAACTCATTTTCACTTGAGGTGTGAAAACCTCCTAAAAAGAAGCTACAGCTGGTGGGGAACACATGTATAAAACACCGTGATTCGAGCTGAAATTTGCCTGTTTGATACCAGCGTCACGTGGCTTGGAGGTCGCCATGCCAACGAGGACTCCACACGTGACCAGCGTGTCACATGACAGCAAGCTATGTTGAAAGGAGGCAGTGAGGGGATGTGCTGGCGTTGCAGCGTAAAACGTGAGGGTGGTCGTGGCATCTGGCGGAGGTGTGCGGGCTAGAGGACTCACCCTCCAGCCACTGGAGAGAGAGGGGGAGAGAGAGAGGGGGAGGGAGGGAGACTCATCCCACCATTCCCCAACCCATCGGGACAGGCCAGACAGGAACTGTTAAAAACACACAGCCGTATAACTGGATAGAAGAATGTGCTCCTACCACTCTGCAACTCCACAAAGGAGACCCAGATACGATACAGTTTACTGTCGACCCCTCATTTCACACTCCCTGATCCTATCCTTCATCACCTCCTAGCACCGTTATCACAGCTTTTATCAACATTCACTAGATCACGCTCTAAAAAACAAGATCAAAATATTTTATCGACTCGTTCTTAGTCTCGACTGGTTTTGACCGGGGTTGATCAAGTTCGGGGTTCGGCCAAGATTCTACAGAACTTTACGTGACTTTTTTGGAGTTAAAATAGCAGTGATATCACCAAAAATAGAAGGAGCTCAATATCGTCTCTGATATCGTGACTCCCATTACAAAAACCACTTCTACTATCCAAATAACTAGTCATATCCATCCCCTGTCAATGATTATCACTTATCATAAATGAACCAGGATGATGATTATTCACTGTAGGCAATCCAGTCAATATAATTCGCAAAAGGAGCAATTTAATGGCTGCAAAAATGTTGGTTCGGTCATCAAATGGGAACCGTGAATTTCCGGTCCTGTCATTTCCTTCCCCACTTTCTCCCCTACCAAATAGAGCCAACTCATTCACCCAATTCTATATCCGTCATCTCCCGAGCTCCATTCTCAATGAAGCTGACAACTGGTTCCTGCACATGACTACCCTGACAGAAAGTCTATACATTGATCTATGAAGGTTGAACCCCGACCGGAGATCAGGGAAAACGTCCTCTTCGCCGCCGAGCGAAGTCTTTCAATATCAAAAGGTCAGCGCACACACTCATCCTTCTTCTGGCATTCTAAAAGGAATGCCGAAATTTTGATTAAAACCCTAAAAACTTTCCCGTCAATTAATAACGCTTGATGAGTGTCATGAACTCTCCCGAAAAACGAGAATCTGGCTTGATTAAGTCAGGCAGATTTGTGGATAAATTCAGTCTGATAATATGTGGATTCGTTCTGAAAGCTAAGTAGAGGAAGTCAGGAGGAATAGCGGATCTAGCCGGGTATATGTCCAGATTAAGTCGGGTACATATTCGGATTAAGTCGGGTACACATTCGGATTAAGCCTGATAGTCGTGGAACAATATCTACTCTGGGCTCGGAGACTCGTGGTACAATATCTACTCTGGGCTCGGAGACTCGTGGTACAATATCTACTCTGGGCTCGGAGACTCGTGGTACAATATCTACTCTGGGCTCGGAGACTCGTGGTACAATATCTACTCTGGGCTCGGAGACTCGTGGTACAATATCTACTCTGGGCTCGGAGACTCGTGGTACAATATCTACTCTGGGCTCGGAGACTCGTGGTACAATATCTACTCTGGGCTCGGAGACTCGTGGTACAATATCTACTCTGAGTTTAGGGGAAGCTTGGTAGCACAATAGGGTTATTATATCCCATACATTGTCAGAACTCTGAACAAGCCGTATGGGTGCTCAGTAACCCGGATTACTGAATCAATTAACTCAAGTAATCAGCTCTAATGCGCGGCCCCATACAGATTGGCAATACAAACCAGAAAGTGCACATCTCAGTCGGACTGAGAAGAGAGAGAAAGAGAGAGAGAGCTTCAAGAACCGTACATTAAACTAAAAGAGAGGGAGGAGGAAAGCAAAATAGCAGAATATTCTACAGCACACACAGGTTCTTGAGTAAAGAAACTTGTTAAGTGTGATAGAAAATAATTGGCAGGTTTTAAGGGGGGGGGTGTCATGTCCGTCTATGTCCGCCTATGTCCTGTCCTTTTTGGATTCTATGAGACAACGGACGTGTTTTTTGGGACATTGGCGGACACGGACGGACATTGGCGGACTCGGACGGACATTGGCGGACTCGGACGGACATTGGCGGACTCGGACGGACATTGGCGGACCCGGACGGACATTGGCGGACTTGGATGGACATTGGTGGACATTAGCGGACATTGGTGGACATTAGCGGACAAAGATTTTGAGGACTGAAGAGTACTGAAGAGTACTGAGGAGGATGGCTGCGAAGGATGGCTGAGGAGGAGGACTGAGGAGGAGGACTGAGGAGGACTGAGAAGGAGGAGGACTGAGGAGGATGGCTGAGGAGGATGGCTGAGGAGGATGACTGAGAGGGAGGAGGAGGAAGAGGAGGAAGAGGACTGAGGAGGAGGAGGAGAAGGACTGAGGAGGAGAAGGAGGACCCAGGAGGAGGAGGACCCAGGAGGAGGAGGACCCAGGAGGAGGACCCAGGAAAAGGCCCCAGGAGGAGGAGGAGGACTGGGGAGGAGGAGAACTGTTGAGGACTGATGAGGATGACTGAGGACGAGGAGGAAGAGTAGGAGGAGGACTGAGGAGGGGAGGAGAAGGACTGAGGAGGAGAAGGAGGACCCAGGAGGAGGAGGA